TCTTCTATTGGAAGAAGTCGATGCCGCGTTCAAGCGTCTAGGTGCTTCTTAATTCTCATTTGTTCAATTTATATGTGACGTGTGAGTTCAATATAAATTCCTGGCACCAAGATAGCTCTAGAGGTGGGTCTAGGAAATAAAAACAGTGTACATCACCTGGTAGCAGTTTTATATTTAATACTAGCAACTTGCAGTAGTTACCATGCTTACCAAAAATAAAGATTTTTGTTTTCTCACTTGTAGTAATTGTAGCAAAAGTGGAGGAATGCAAGTAGATAATTTCACTACCCACATGAAAATCCCCTTTAATTCATTTCTCACATGGTGGTGTTGTTGATGGGCTATACCGCAGACGAGATTTTTACACTATATATAAGGATCGTTGGAACCAGGTATACGCAAGATCGGGTCAAGTAGACAAGGATGAAGATTTATACTGGTTCGAGCTCTCAAGTAGAGTAATAACCCTACTATAGTTTATATGGATTTATAGATGGATTTATAGATGGGATGACACAAAGATTACAATGGAGAATGGGATAATTAGACTAATCCGCCGACCAAAAGTTGTCGAGAATGATACAACGAGATCTATTCAGCAAATATGGCTCTGGCTTCCTCTAGAATTCTTCTCAATGTGTCTTTGGCTATTTATAACTTGATGCCCCTTTCTAAACACGGGAGCCTTGTATATATAGCGTAGATCATCTTTCTCTCCAAGTAGAACTCAAAGTGATAAAATAGTGATAAAATAGGATACGAGCCCAAGGAGATCTTACCTTCTCCGATTAAAACTCGAACACCTTCTATTCTGAGAAGATAATTTCATTCCTTATCCATCGTATTTCCTTAATCAATTGGCACTTTCTGGTATACAATCGGGTATACGGTATTGTCATATTTCATAAATCCGTGTATAAGAGGTATGTCTTATCCTCAACGCTAACAAGTATAAATTTTAAAAGGAAAAAAATGAAGGAAAATTTTACACATAAATTTTATAAATACAATATTTAATTTATATATACAAACTTTGCTTCAAAAATCATATTAATCTTTTTTCTTCAAATTTATAATAGCTAATATTTAATTAATCACATCCTAATTCATTGTCAAGTTTTACGTATGGACCAAAAGCTCACGTGAACTTAGATACCGAAAAGAAAAATTGATACAAAAAGAAAAAAGAAACAACATACACCCCAAAATATAGTGGACCAAAAATAACAATTCTATCAAAATTCACACACACAAACTTGACCAAAAAAAAGATGTACTAGCGTGATCGCGGGCACGGCTAATCGCTGATTAGTGTTTTCTTTACATGGATGCCCGGATTCCCCCAAACCTCTCTATTGAGTAGACCAAGGATATCATGACCTGACAAATGACCGTAGGTATGTTATAGCGATGGAACGAGGGAGGCCAACTGTTGACGCGAAAAATCAACACGCAGCGGCCTGGGAAATCTGCTTAGCTCTAGTGCAGTTCCAAAAGAATTGCCTTCGGGTTCTAATTGCCTTCGGGTTCTGAGCGTGCCTGATGGTTTGATCCTGCAACCAACAAGATAGAAAACAACAAATAGTTAAACCCATCGACGATAGCCAATCGGCAAGATTGCCGATGACATATCGTCCGAGGCCATGCCAATGTAACTTGAGTTAGATCGGCAAGGGCAGATAAAAACTTGGAGATTGTTCGGTGTACCCGATCGGCTGTAGATGTTAGCGATACATAATCCGTCCGATAGGACATGCTTGGATCGAGTGATTAGGATAGATCGGTGGCCACACCGAGACAGTATAAATCACTCTGTATCCAAATGTGCCCAAAAGTAGGGATTATGCATGCTAACAGCATAGCCGATAGAGCAAACCTAACATGTATCGGCTAGTACTCCGATACCACCCTATACCAAGATACCAACGTGGATGAAATATATGAAGCTAAGGCCAAACTAGAAAGCATGATGGACTAGCTTAATATACTTCAAAAGGATGGGATCTTGATATAAGGGGCGGATTTAGACAATCTAGAGCCAAATGAGGAAGTAAAACAACTAAATCAGGTAAGATCGGCTGAAACTCCGATACTATCTCTATTAGCAGTCAAAGAAAAGATTAGATAAAACATTTCAGGACAGTGCTTAATAGATCGAACCTAACCGATGTAGCATTAAGCGTGAAGAGAAATGAAAGATCTAATAAAACCGATGAGAGCTTGTTCGAGATGGTAGATATACCACATAATCTAGCTTAATATCAAAGCCTAAGCCTATCGGCCGCTTTCGATGATAGAGGTTAGCTGATGAAGCTCAGATGATGAGATCGATCTATATCATGCGATATATATGATAACTCAGCGACTTGCGTCGACAAGATTAGAGTGTTATGAAGATGTAAGCACTAATCCCGAGAACGCAAGCCGCCATGACAAGATTTACCTCTTCGTCGAAGATCGAACCTGATGCAGCCCAACTCGAAAGCAAAAAAGTCATCAAAAATAAGGGTAAAAAGGGTGGCGATGCGCCGAAGTGTATTGAACTGTCGTCCCTTGATTACATGGGGTCGGGCCATATTTATACCCGAAGTACATGACAGGTCCTTGCTGGACACGACTCTTATCTCTAACATAATTCAAAATACAAATGAGTCCTTCAGGTGGACCATTACCAAACTATCTCTAAGGAAAACTAGAAAATGTCCTAATTAATAGATACAATTGCCCTTTTCAGGACTCCTATCCTTGTGTGGCAATAACGATGGAGGTCTTCATCCAACCCGACGACGGTTATGGGGCCACCTTTCTTGAGATTGGTGGCGCCGGCTTTGACTTTGTTTGATCCGGTGTTTAGCCGATATGTGGTAGCCGATACCACTGTAGCCAATTTGTGTGGTAGCCGATGCTGTTCATAGCCGACGTGTACTCAGATTTCCCGAACGGGCTTTTTCCGAATCGGCTTGGTCTCCAATTTTGAATCCAACCCATGGTACTACCAAATTTGGTCGTCAACACCAACGCCTCAATCGCCTCGACGGTCGAGGCATGTTGGCAATTAGACGAACAAAAAGAAAGAAGTGCGCTGGGGAAGAGCACACCGATGGGGAAGAAGGATTAGAATATAGCAGGAAGATTTAGATTAATTTCTCTTGTTGATCCGAACCATCCTGATTACAGCTTTTATAAGACTTAGACTAACAAACTCATTTAACAACTTTGTCTCTAAAAATATGAATAGAAAACGAAACCCTAATCAGCTACGACTTTGCGCACCTGAACTTCCTCCCATGCGACCATTCTTCGGTGTCCAATTCCTTCACAGCGTTTGTGAAACAAAATTCCCCACATGACACAGGAGGAGGAGGCACACATGCGCTCGAGGCTCCTGATCCTGCCGACGTCGTGTCACGCCCAGAAATTTAGCCCTAAATTTCCAGACTATTTTGTGTATTAAATCTCTGTCCAGGACCAGCTAGGGTACACAAAATGACAAGTAATATACAGTTCAAAACGTAAATAAAGCATAAAATACTTACAGAAAAGGCACTTAGTCCTCACATCGAAAAGAAAGCAGCAGCAGCGGAAAAAGGCGATCTTAGCGGGGCTTTAGCTCCACTCCACAGGCAAAACTTAACTGGGGTCTGAGCCTTGGTCCTATAACTTCGTCTTCAGCTCAGAAGCTCTACACTTCTGAAAAGGGGGAACAATAGCAAGGCTGAGTATAACCACCATACTCAGCAAACTACACAAACGATGCAGACGTGCAAGGGGATACAAGGATGTCTTGTGGCTATTTGCATAAAGGCGGTTGTAAAACATTTTATTGAGCAAAACAGTAAAAACTATTGAGTGATTAATGTAACATTAAATCTCCACTGATCAACACTACACCACGTTGAACAGGCCCAACCAACCCACCTGAACTACAATGCATTGGGTCAATTTATTAAGGGTGAGACTAATCATGGTGAATCTGGTCGATCGCCCATAACCGCGGACACGGCTATTCGAATAGTTTTACTTTGGCCAGAGGTGCACAACTGTACCCACAAGACACAATCCACCGGCATGTTACCGCGTCATCATGCGCCCATGATGAACACGTCACTATATCGAGTGATTGTAACAAGACCCTTCATATAACCCCCTCTGACCAATCACACCACACCTCAGGTTTCACCCCCACTCCTCGCAAGGCAGTGGGCAGTCCCCTCTCGTGCCATGGTGAATCCGGAAGCCGATCAACCGAACACCTCGGCTGACTCAACTCCATCACGCCCACCCTTGCCTAGGAACGTCAGCCAGAGGAAAGCTATACTTCAAGTCAGGTAGTTACCCATTCCCGCTTGTGGCAAGCATTATATGTCTTCCAGTACATTCCGCGAACCGGTCCTTAATTGCCATGGGTGTGATCAGCAAAACCATGCACCCACAGCCCACCAATAAGTCACATTTTAGTTGGTTAATTATGGCTAATGAATATGGCCGAATGTCTCGAGCACGCAGCTCGTTCTGATACTAACAAGGTCTAATACTACAATTATCCCATCAACTGAGCTAGTGGTAATTAAGCATGGCTAAGCATATAGTTCTAGCTAGGTCACATAAGTAACATGAGCTAGTCGATTTATTACCCAATGTTGACAAATGACATATATCAAGTAAACATAGCACAAGCGAGCAGATAGGTAAACCCTATTCCCATGTAATTAGCAAAACATGCATATTTATTTGCAAACGATAAAACATTTATAAATTAGGATCAACATGCTCAAGGGGAATGTGTGACTTGCCTTGCTTCTTCACTTGGATCTTCTGAACTCTTATCCTCGTGACCGCGAACTTCCGAAACGACGGATTCTACACGCTGACACGCAAAACGAGGAAAAACTCTAATAAAACCAAGCAAACAATACATAAAAAGTAAACAAACATGTAGAGCTCAATTTTAGATGAATTTTGCAAGTTGAATGGCTCAATTCGGAGTTCATATGAATTAGATATGAATTGTAGAAGTTTTGAGCCATTTTAATGAATTTCTAGAATTATTATTTATTTATTTCACAATTATTATTTAATTGCTCAAAGGGAAAGGGCCGCTGCTGACGTCATCAAAGGGCGGTGCCGACGGGCGGGCCCCACGAGTTAGTGGCGCAAGAGGAGCGGCCCACAGTGGACTCGGTCCACCGCGGCATAGGCGCGGGCGCACCACGTGGACGGCCATGTGGCAGCCAAGGCGGCAAGGCAAGGCGAGGTGGCGCCGACATGGCGGAGCCACGGGCAGCCACGGCGAACGCCACGTAGACGGCCCGGATCACCCCAAAGGGGATCTGGCGGCCACGCGAGGGGAGGCCGGCTCGCCGGCCGGGCCGAGCGAACGGCGACACGGCGGCGGCGGCGCACGGGCACCGGCCACTGACGGCGAGTGGCGGCGCAACAAGCGATGGAAGGGAGCGGGGAGGAGAGGAGGGATGCTCACCAAGCAGTCGACGGCGGGGAGAGGCGGTCGACGGAGGGAGGCGAGGAGGCGGCGGTGTCCCTCGGGCGAGGACAACGACGACGATTTGGCGGCGTGCGGCACAGGAGGAGGGGAGGCCGAGGGTCGGCGAGACCTGAGGAAGAGATTGGATGGGTTAGGGAGGAAAACAGGCGACCGAAGCGGCGGGAAAACAATGCCGGCGATGGAACTCGGGGCGGAAGCGGAACTCACCAGAATGCGAGGTGGTTGGGATTCCGGCGGGTCTTCGGCGAAGAGGAGTGGACGCCGAGGAGCGGTGGAGCGCGGTGGTGCTGAGGGTGGCGGCAGCACGACCGGGCGAGGCCTGTCTCGCCGGCGGGGAGTGGCCGGAGGCGGTGGAAAGGGCAACGGCTCGGCTTGCATGGTGGGATGGTAGTTGTGGTGGCGATTTGAGGGAGAGGAGCAGCTGCCGGGGTGGAGCTAGGCACGGAGATGCCGACGACGGCAGTGGCGCGGTTTGGCAGCGACGGGAGCGGCGGCAAGAGGCGGAAAAAGCGGCGGCGGCTCGGGCTGCGTGTGGACACGGCGTCACGGTGGTGGTTCGGGGAAATAAAGTGGATGCCGGGGTGCTATGTGGTGCGGCGAAGCTAACGGCGGTGGCGGATTGGCGCGGTGGAGACTAGCGGCGGTGGCGACCGGCTGGAGCTCGATGGCAAGCGGCGGCGCACGGCTCGACGTGGGGAGAGCGGGAGGGGGGGCGAGGAGCTCGGGAAGGAGGGGGAAACGGAAGAGGAGGACTCGAGAGCATTTTTATAGCGCGAGGGAGCAACGGGGAGGCCGGGGAGTGGCGAATTTGGGGCGGCAGCAGCCGGCGACGTGGAGCTCAACGTGGGTGAAGTGGGGACTTGATTTGGCGCCAAAAATTGGGGAAAAGTAGGGGATTTGGTGGAGGAGATGGAGGGGAACCGATTTCGCTCGGTTTGGGCGTGAGGGCGCGAGTGGGAGGGCGCTTGATTCGGCGGCGACGTGGGCAGCAAAAGGGCGGCATGGCGGTGGTTTCGGCTCAGGGAGCCAGAGGTAGGAGGAGGCCCTGACAGGTGGGGCCTCGGGTCCACCTGTCGGCGAGGGGAGGAGAGAGGAGGCTGGGCAGGGGGGCTTAAGCGGACTTAGTGGGAGAAGGGAGCCGAACTGGGCTGGTCCAAGAGAAGGAAGGGGGCGGGAAGGAGAAGGGGAAGGCTTGGGCCGAGCCCAAGAGGGAGGAGAGAGATTTTTAATTGGTTTTCTTTTTATTTAATTGATTAATTGAACTTTGTGACTTTAAAATTACTTCTTGAGCTCCGAAAATTCGCGAAAAAATCCGGAATCCGGAGAGTATTTTAGGGCACAAAGAATATTACAAAATATTCTTGGCCAATGATTTTTAAAGGAAACTTTTAATTCTCCCATTATTTCACTTGATTAAATTGATTTAACTTTTATTTAATTTCTAGAAAATGTATTATTAAATGATTTTTAATCCTGAACGAAAATCGGGGTGTTACACGTCGTACCTTCTCCTCTCCTTGCCCATGAGCAGGTCAATGATGCAGTTCATGTCGAGCGCCCGCACGTCCCGCGCTGCGTTGCAGCACGGGTCGTACACATCGTTGTGCGGCGGTAGGACGCGGTGCCCGTGGTCCAGCTTCACCCACCGCCAGCACGCACGCAGGATGTTCACCTTCTGGGCGTGGGTGCTTTTCCTGATCCTTGGACTAGGAGGGGATCTTTTGGTGTCGGCTGCACCCCAGCTTCAGTGCTCGCCTGTTGCGTGCGCAACAGGTTAGGAGGAAGAGGAGGAGAACTGCGCAACAGGTTAGGGGGAAGAGGGGAGAACTCCTGCTGCTGATGCTGCTGTGACTCTCCCGGATGCCATTGTTGTAGCAGAATAGTAGCGCGGTAGCACTACAAGGAGAGATCAGGTCTGCGGGACTCCAGGATTTGTTACCCTTTTAAAGCGAGATCAGAGATTAGCACCCTACATGTGATGGCTAGTCTAATTAAATGTTGGATATGGATGCACAAAATCTTTCCATTCATTAATTAAGTCTAGTAAGAGATAGATATATACATTTTAAGTTAATTAATTAATTAATTAAAGTTCAGGTTAACCAGCAAGCTAGATGTTGTTGGTATTTCTAAACGACATCACTAGAAATATAATTCCTAGTAATGGCGCATAAATACTACTGGTATATTATGGTTACAAAGTTCATCCGCAAGCGCATAAATATACCATTGTAGCATTTCACCCGAGAGTATTCTAAGGGTATCGTATTTGTTTAATCCCGTGGGAAGATTATAATAGAGAGAACCGTACTAATAATTTATATATTACTTGTAATAACCAGAGTCTAACCAGGGGTTAATATAATTCAGTGGGTAGAGTGACACTAAGCAGAAGCATTTATACTCTCATTCATAATTATCTAAGCTAAGCAGAAAGAATATAGAAAGATCTATTCCTATATCTCTAGTATATATACATATTATACATACACCCTAGTTATATCATAACTTAACCAATACCCTCTTTCTGATGCTCTCCTGGTACTTCGAGAAGCCACCCCTGATTGCCGAGTTCCTTACGACAATCCGTCATGACCATTCAACCGGGGCTAAATACGGAGGAGTACCCTCCCCAAGAAATTAACTTAGGACTATATACACGCGCGGAGGAATACCTGTACTGAGCTGTCACCATCAGTGTGTTGATGAAAAACATGAGGCCTGGGAGATCTGCTTAACTCTAGTGCAGGTCCAAAACTCGCCTTCGGATATGTTAGCGTGCCAGTTGATTTGATCATGCAATCAACAAGAAATAAAGACAAAGAAACCGTGGTTAAATCTATAAACGATAGCCGATCGGCTAGGTGCCGATGACATATCATTTATCTTTGCGCCGATGTCATATATGTATCGATCGACAGTCATAAATAAATAAGAAGGAACTAAATCTACTCGATCAGCTGTAGATATTAACAATATATAATCCTTATATCGATATATACTTAAATCAAGTGATTGGGATAGATCGGTCGCCATGCCGAGACAGTATAAATCACTTAAATCGAAATATATATTAATAATGAGACTATATATGTTCATAGCATAGCCGATCAGATAGATCTAGCATGTATCGGCTAATACTCCGATACCACTCTATATTAAGATATTAAAGCAAGTAGAATATATCAAACAAAAGCCTAATATACTTAAATGCAACAAGATCTCAACATAAAGGGCAGATTTAACATGTCAATAAAGCATATAAAACAAATATAGTTAAATCAGGTAAGATCGGCTGAAACCCCGATTCTACCCTAATCGGCGACCAAGAAGCAGGCTAGAGATTGAGATTCTAATCACGACTCATAAGATCAAACTCAACTGATGCAGCTATAAGTATGAAAAGAAGGACAATATCTAGACAATCAAGCCGTTGGAAGTTTCATAGAGTGGTGGATACCTTATATAATCTAAGTCAACGTCGATATCTAATCTAATCGGCTGCCCTCTACCGACAGATGTTAGCCAATTATAGATTAGATAGCGATATTGCCAGAGATTATGTAAGATATATGATAAATCGACGAATTACATAAACAAGATTAGAGTATCATAAAGATAGAAGCATTAATCCCGAGAATGCAAGCTGTCATAACAAGTTTTACCTCTTGATGAAGATCGAAACCGATGCAGCTCAACCCGAAAGCAAGAACTCGTCGAAATAAAACTAAAGCAAAAAGGGTGGCGATGCGCCGAGATTGTATTGAACGTGTATTAAATTGATTACATGGGGCTCGGGGTCTATTTATACCCGAGAATTACACAACATGTCCATAACGGACACGACTCTTATCTCTAACAAACTCTAAGATACCATAAGTCTTTGCGGCAGACTTTTGCCTAAACATATCTCTATGGAAATTACGTAAAATATCCTAACTAATAGATACAATTGTCTTCTCAGGACTCTATCCATGCGTGGCAATCATCTTGAAGCATATCAACTCGACCTGATGTCGTACACCAAGTCGTACTGTCGGAATCGTTCGTATCACCTGACCCAGTCTGACTCGGACTTTGCCGATCTCAATCATAGCCGATCCGAACTCCATCCGATTCTTAATCTGTTTCCGCAACGATCCTCATCTTTGATTCCGCTTCGATCTAACCTTCCTCTCCGATACTGATATTACTAAATTTAGTCGTTAACACATGCCCCCCAAGTCTGGAATATTTGGTAATGTTTCGGATTTGCCATATATCGACTCCGAGCAAGATTCGCACTCTGCCGTTTCCCGACCGTTATTCCAGCGCTTTAAATACTAACCGTTGCTCTCGAAAAATCTTCACTCCGTCACTTCCGTTTTCACCGCCGAAGCAAACTTTCTCTCCGGCGATTCCTCCGATGCACAAGGCAATCCCCAGGCGATTCCATCTCCGGCCAGATCTCCGCCCACGGCGATGTCATCCTCTGCCAGCCCGTCTGCCGTGCCGTCAGCCAAGTATGCTGAGGTAAGTTCTCATCGGCTAGATCTCCTTTTCTCGCATCAGATTGATTTCCCCTCCCCTCATCTTGTTTTCTTCTTCTCTATTCTTGTTCGCATCTGTAGCATCTGTCCAATCTGATTGCGATTCCAAGTCTATCGCATGAGGAACATTATTTCCTCGGTCCGATTGGCAATCTAGACCCTACTGACTTCATCATCGGCAAAACCAATAGAATCCCCTTTAGATTAGCCAACCCTAATCTAGGTCACTGGAGGAACACCTTCAAGTTTTGGCCGTCTCTCGAGAAAACCACCCCTGAGAAGAGTTGGACTACATGGTACAAGCGTGTATCGGCTAGCAAGCAAACACATTGGGATGAAATTGGAATCGGTCAAGCACTTGCCCTCACTATAGCAAATTCAGCTAAAGATGAACCCTTAATGGCCGCCGCCACCTACTTCTGGTCCAATACTATCAACACCTTTCTATTCAACCAAGGGCCGATGACACCAACTCTGATAGATATTACTATGATCACTGGTCTAGATGTATCCTCATTGGCTAATCCCATGAACCTGAACACCAAAAACCAATACGATTTCAGGACCAAAAGCATATGTGGTTGGTCTGGATATGTGGCAGCATATATGGGCTAAGGATCTATTACTCCTCGAGAGCATGTGGCCTTTTTACTTATGTGGCTAGAAAAGTTTCTTTTCTGCGAATCCAGCTGTGGCCCTACAACCAACTGACAGTTTGCAGCCGAAGCTCTTGTGTCAAAAAGAGAATTTCCTCTAGGTAAAATCCTCCTCGGCTACTTATACCAAATGCTGAACAATGCATCTGCCAAAATAGCCGTCGGCTCGGTGGTTGGAGCAGGTGGACCATGGTGGTTGCTACAATCTTGGCTCAACTTAATGGTCATGAAAGTTGTCAATCGGCCATCAGTGACAGAAGCCGAATTCCCAAGGCTGGAGCCGATTGTAGAAGATGGTGAAGAACGCACTCATCGTGGATGCATGTCATATGGAGAATATGCATCCACACCAACCGATGCCGGGGCAAAACTATCAGCTGAACTGCTCAAGGTTGGTTT